ACTCTTTCTAAGGAATATTTAGAGAATGATATTGAAAACTTTATATTTTTCTTAGTCTTCATTTCCTTCCTCTTGCTGGACCACCCGCAGCGCACATAGAGTGGTTTCACTGTCAGGACTGTCAAGGATCATCTTTATTCTCATTTCTCATTCATTCAGCTGAGTTTCGTACTTAAATTTTCAAGTATTTGTCGCCGCTTCCTTCCGCCTGAACAGCACAAATTTCCACGAAAAACTAGCATTTTCATTGTTATCTTTGAAGGGGGCGCGGCAGGGCGCTGAAGAGCGGAACAGTTCATCGAACACTCCAGCTCGAAGCCGAACAATTGAAGTGTTTGAGGACCACCAAGGACTCGAGCTGGATTCAAGTATTCAATTGTTAATCAACAGGTAGGCAACAGTTGGGCTTAGGCTTAAGCCGAAGGGCAGGTAGAGCAGGTAGCTTAACTATTACAGTTACTTCATAACCTACTTAAACTCACAGTTCGGCAAGCTCAGCGGGAGAGGGAGAGGAGAGGAAAGAGACAAACGACAACTTCCTTTTTGGTGCATTACATCATTTTGTTTCTTTTCTTTTCTTTTTTTTCAACAGTCAAAAAACACAGTTACGTCTAACCACGCAACATGCCCACCTCGTCCACACGATCAATGGATCTCTCATGCCACACACACTGTTGCAAGTAGAAAGAAAATTACCTAATTGTGTTGCATCGACAACAACAACAGCAACAACGACTTCAACAAGCAGCGACTTTTTCTACTCCACTTCTTGCTTGGCTAAGCTGCCCCCTGGCCCCAGCAACTCCAGCGTATGTGTGCCACATGCTGCAAAGGCAAACTAAAAATGTGCCACACACAAACAGCCGTAGCTAAGTTTTTCTTCTTCTTCTTCTACTTACATTTAGTTAGCTAGTTTAGTTAGTTAGTTCCTCTCTCTGCAGTTCGTTTTGCTTCGCTTTTGCTATTTCGTTTCTTTCTTTCTCTTTGGCGTCGTTAGATAATAGACAACAACAACACCACCAACAATAACAGTTAGTTGTTGCATTTGCTGTGTCGGCGGCATAAGTCAAGCAAGACTTCCTATATTTTGAAACACGTTACGTTCGTAACATAAATTCACACAACAGGTTACAACAATTCGCCTCTGCTCTCCCAGCCAATGGCAGTGCCTCGCTGCATCGCCCTCTCTCTCTCACACACTCTCTTGCTCTCAATTGCTTTTGCGGAGTTCGAGTTCGAATTCGTATAGGAAAGCTTTGCGGTGTAAGCTGGAAAATGTGATCAGCGCATCGGAAAATTATTGATGTCATTGTCTGAAGATTTTCCAATTTTCACAGATCATTCTTAAAAGCAATTAAGCTCGAGTTTCGATTACAATGTGAATAACATTAAGAAAATGCTGAAGCACTAATTGAGTTAGGCTGTTATATTGTTATATGTGCTATTAAATCATGTATTCGTTCTTTGGAAAAAGAAAAGTATAACAAAATTATCAAGAATTTCCATATCAATAGATAATATCAACAATATACTATTATATTATATAGTTAAAATCTCAATCATTTCTTATTGCTTAATACACTGTATTACTATTTGCTACAGAAAAATAATAGCAATTGGTATTCACAATTGTGTGTTATACTGTTATATTTTCCATATAATCTTAACAATTATAACAAAGTAACCAAACACTTGCGTGTTATACAGTTGTACTATATTAGCATTACTTCTTTACTAAAACAAAAGCATGCGAAAAATAATTATGCAGTTATATTTCGTATACAATTATAAATATAGTATAACATCTTATTTAAGCAATCAAATAACATGTTCAGAGTTAACAACCTGATACCACTGTGCAAAGTATTGTGGGTGCATTATATTATATATTTAAAACAAGTTTATCTAAAGCTATGCCAGAGTGAAAAATCTCCTTCTCTCTGTCTATTAGCTGTTATATGAATTTCGTTCAATTTTTTATGAGAGCCTTATTAACCATTTTATGCTTGGCATATATAAAAGGCAATATAAGCTTAATGTGAAGCAAGACAAAGATAGAGAGAGAGAGAAAAAGGCGAGTGGGCGGCAGCTTGAGAAACCGTTTGTTTTTCTTTTAATGCCAATTCGCACGATCTTTTATTGGAGTTAAAACTCAACATTCACACACATACAGACACACACACTCTCACACACATGCACTTTCTTCTGCGGCGAATTTCAGACAGCATAAATGGAAGCTGCTAACATTTATGGCAAGGCAAATTCAGGTTAGTGTGATATTTGTGCACTATAAAATGGGTCGTTGTTGTTGTTGCACAAGTGGCTGTCATAATGCTGGCAAGTGTGTGTGTGTATAGTGTAAAGTGTTCACACAATATATGTGTGTATATTGCAAAACATCAATATAGCACACAGCAACAGCAAAAAACAACACAAACAATGGGGCGATAACAGCACGCAGCAAGAAAATAAAACAATATAAAACAATAACAACAACAACGACAACAACAAGTAAGCTAGCCAGCAAATACAATTGCTATGCGCAGCTACTTCCGCATGCAAGTTGAAACAACTAAAAGAAACAGAAAAAACAACAGCAGCAACAGAAGAAAAAACGTCGACTGCAACTCATTCTCAATGCACTTGGCTTATGGGTGCATGCGTGTGTGTGTATGTGACTCAAAGATCATGGCATAGCATAAGAAGAAGTAGCAAAGAGCAACAACAAAATGTACTCATTTGATATATTGAGCCCTTTTATTAAACAGCACAGACAAAAGAGAGCAAAGCGTCATACAACTGCTTTACTTTTCATTATATTAATGTTGTTGTTGATATTGCATAGGCATATGCTTCCTCTTTCTTTCATTGGTCTGCCTTGCATTTGCCTTTACGCCGCCTCCTTCTACCTGCTGCGCGGAACACTTTTTATACCTGTTTCTGCTCTAGCATGTCATACAGTTGTGTGATGTGTGTGTTTGTGTGTCTCCCCAATTGCCATGCTGCTGACCCGACAGATCGTTGTCGTTGTCGTCAACGTTTCGCCGCTCTCTTTTGCTATTTTGCTTCCGTACAATTTTTACGCTCTTGCTCTTACGTTTTAAGGCGTCGCGCGCGCGTCTCTTACGTGTGCCGCCATCACACACTCACCCGTTACGTTGCGTCGTTGTCGTTTTTGTGTGGAGCAATGCGGAAGTGAATTTAATTTATTGTATTTACGCTGCCCCACAGACACAACAAACAGACGGATGGTTGGATGGATGGCTAGAGAGAGAACCAGGAAAGTTAACGGCTAGAAATCTATAAAATTTAGTTGCTTTACTTGGAGAGAGATGTCTGTTTCTGCTTGTGTGCGTCTGCGAGTGTGTGTGTGGACATATTTCTACGTTTCGCTAATTGGAGAGCCGAACATGTTAAGTAAATAAAACGCGCACACATACATATGCAATATATATATGAGAACACATAATCAAATTTTTTGACGAAAATCTTAGCGCTAAGCAAAGGGTGAGAGAGAGAGAGAAAGAGAGGGCATGAAGGAGAATGATCAGGTGCGATATTTTCTTGACTTGAGCGAGTGTGTGTGTAGGTGTAGTTAAACCAGAAGCAGGAACTGTTCGCTGTTTCGTTTCAACGGCAGCAGCAGCGCTGACGACGTCGACGTCGGCAGCAACAACAGGCGCACAAATAAACAGAATTCTACTGTAGCGATAAGATTTCGCTGACGCAGAGAAGAGCGAAGAAGAGAGACACAGCAAAAAAAGAATGCGCCAACAGGCAACAAGAACAAGAACAACAAACAAGAAGAACCGTAACATCAATCCAATTGGAGCTTAACGCTCCGCTTTTGTTTCACTTCCATAGAAAAATTGCTGCATGCAACAAGAGACCCGTCGAACCCAAAGCCCAAACCAAAAACCCAAGAAAAAAGCGAACCAAAAGCCAGTCGACCGATTGCCTTCAATATGGTTCAACAAAATATGTGTACAGTAGACCCACAGACATGAAGAACAAGCTAATATTAGACATGAAAAATTAAAAAAAGCAAACGATTTTTAACATACAAATATAAAGTATAAATAGAATTTGCAATTCACCAGTTATGCACAGTAGTCGCTCACACATGAAGAACAACGTATAAAATAATTGAAATGATATAACAAAATTGTAATATAAGCGTTTTGCTGAAATACGAAATTGCAATGCTCTTTAGCGAGCGCATACCGTGCTAAAGCTAAAGCTAAACAGTTATAGTTAAAGCTTCATGAGAACTAAGCAAAAAGCAAAACAGTTCATTTAGTACAATCAGCGAATTTGTCATATCATATTACTTTAATCTTAAATTGAGAGGTGCGAAACTTTGATTTCCGTATACATATGAGAATATATATCTATACTGAGTATATAAAAAAAATAAGTAAAGATGCGCTTTTTCTCTTAAGCCAAAACAAATCTGAAATACAAAAATAGATCAAAGTCTACAAGTACGATAAGTTAAGCCAGTGTTGTAAAACGCTCATGCAAACAGGAATTCAAATTGTTGACCTCTGAGTAAAATCGTTGTAAATTGTTGTAGATTGTCAGAACATGAGGAACACAATAAAAAGCACAGCGTACGAAAGACAATTAAAGCAGAGAGATTAGCGTTTAAAATATATCAGCTAGAGTGGGTGACAACTTTTGTAGGGGAGTGTGAAAAGCGGGGGGAAGAGTAATGAAGTACGATATGATATAAAACTTATGGAAATAAAAGAAGGTCAGAAAGACAAGTAAAACGTGTTCACAAAAAAAAAACACACAGAAAAGAGAAATTACAAAAAAAAAAGAAAACAAATGCATGTAAATATAAATACATTTACAACTCATTGCCTGCAAACCAGAACCTACTTTTTAAATCTTAAATCTAGTTACAACAATATTAAATAATTATCCAATATTTTTTTCAACAAAGCACCCAAAGTACACAGTTAGAAGAGTAGAAATGAAATTGGCTTGCTTACCTGTTTGCCTTTGCTCCACTGTGCCGTGACGTAGTTCGTTGTTGCTGTTGTTGTTGGTGTAATACCCGTTGTCTGTTGTTTGCCGTTCTTATAAGCTTTCAACGCGGAAGCGGATATGTTTGTCCAGATCCAGAAACGCGCGTTATACTTGTTGTTGCGGCTTACTACTGCTGCTTCTTCTTTTGTTACTACTGCTACGACGCTCGCTTGAACTACAACTGCAGCACTACGACGTAACGTAACGTATGGTGAACGTCACGCAACGTAAATGCATGCACTTTGCTGTCGATTTCCTGGTTCTGCTGCTGCGTCGTCGTTCGCTGCTACTGCGACGCGACGTCAAGTGGCCATTGTGAAGAGACTAAGAGAGATTGAGACGGGGTACACTGCGTTACGTTACGTTAATCCTGTGTTGGCCGCTGTTGCTTTCAAAAGTGTTTTGTATATGTTTTCTTATTTGCCATTGCAAAAAGCGAATGTCAGCGCCAAAAGGGAATGGCACACCGAAAAATAACAAAACACAAACACAAATCAAGCGCAATCTGGAGACGTTTGTGGAGGAAGAGCACAGCCGCAAAGAGAGTGCACAAAGTACTTCCGTCTCACACACACACACGCACACAAAAGCACAGCAATGCACTTGTGCTTGTCCCTATTGTTGTTGTTGCTGCTGGCCCTTTTGCACCCACGTTTCGTTTAAGTAGAAAACACACACACAACAATAAATAAACTGCTTCCTTTTCACTTTTGCTTGCACACTACTTGTTGTTTTATTCTTCTTTTTTGTTGCGCTCTGTTCGCCTAATTTTTGTTTATTTCGTTTTTATTTTGAGAGAACAGCCACAAAAGGAAAACTTGGCATACACAGTTATTTAGCTATTCTATGCTTTGTTACTCGATTCTCGACGTCGGCGTCGGCGGCGGCGGCGTCTTTTCTTCCACACTTTTATTTCGCCTCGTTGGCTTTTTGTTATGTTTTGATTTGTCAAGCGATAAATTCAACTTAAAAAATTATTATTGCTATTGTTGTTGCTACTGCTGCGGCTGTTGCGTGCGCATTGAATCAAATTCAATTAATTTTTGCTTAGAATATTTTTGCACAATTACAATTCGGTATTATAATTATTGTACAACAAATTTGTATTTTTTTGATTTGTTTTTTGTCTTGTTCCGCAGCAACACGTCCGCTCACCACGAAAGTTTCTTACGTTGTGACTCAAAACATGCGAGTAAGAAATAAACAAAGCAAACGACGAATAACTGAGACCGAGAGCATGCGCATTTGAATCGAAGAGAGAGAGAGAGACGTAGCGAGCGCAGTGCATTTAAGAGCACAAAACTGGCTGTCAAAGAGAATTGAATTAAAATTTAAATTTTATTTATTTATTTCTTATTAGTGTCCGAATCTTCTTGTTCTTGTTAACAATATATGTTTCTTCCGAATATTTGCACGTTGTTCATTTCCTTTAATATTGTGTGTATGTGAATTGATGTTATACACAAATATCTCAAATTATATATATTTTAAACATATTTTACTGGTGATCGAGATGGCAATTAAATATGCTTAATTAGTGGGTAATTGTTAATGAATGAAATCAAATCAAACTGAAAATATTTTTTAATAAATATACATTTATATTTCGATAGCTGTGGGCGTTAGGCGTGGGCTGTCGATTGACTTGTTAATCAGCTGCGATAAAAGCTGATTATCGTTTATCGATGAGCTAATAGAATGTGGGCTGTATTCATGTCGCGAGTTTAATTAACCAACACTACGGCGATATTTCCGTTAAATAAAATCTTTTTTATTTGTCTAAATAAATTAGTAGTAAAGACTAACTAGTAAAGATTAACTTTTATAGTCAATCGCGATCAGTCGTTCGACCTGTAAAGACGTGAATTCGAACAGCCTTCGCTTAAGCTCTACTGCTGCAGAGTTCTAAAAATAGAACTTTGCGGTGCATTCTTCAACGCAACAGCAACAAAAACCGCACACGCAGCGTTTTCTTATCGCTTGCTTCCGCGTAACTCAATTGCTTTAATTGCAATTTACGAAATTTCGTCGCTTGGCGCGAGTGCGCCTGCACTCAAAAGCACAATCCGCGATGACATCTAATGTCAATAACCTCGCTACAGCTGTAAAGGTAAATGCAGAAATGCAAGCCCAGCTTAACGTTGTGATGGCAAATAGGCAAGCCTCCATCATGCCAATAAACTCAAAAATAGATATCGCCTCCGTGCAAGGCATCACTAACAACAAAAACACGAAACGTAAACAGCCAAATTCACCAAAAACCATCAAGAAAAGGCTCATCTTCGACGAACCAAGCACCAGCAATGCAGCATTAATATCAGAAAATCGATTTTCACTGCTCGTAGAAGAAGATGAAGACTACAGCGAATCACCTGTAGCTCCAGAAGCCCCAGTATTGACCGACCAGCAAACTACTCCGAAACCTCGTCCGCCCCCCATATGGTGTCCAAACATCAAGTCTGTGGCCCTACTTCAACAGATAATAGATAAAGTAATTGATGCTAAATCATACGTAATTAAGCCAAAGAAGAATAACATAGGTGTATTAACCCAATGCAGTGAGGACTATCGCAGAGTTATAGACCACTTTACTAAGCTGGAATTGGAGTTCCACTGCTACCAGCTTAAGGAGGACAAACCATATAGAGTCGTGTTCAAAGGGCTTCACTCCAGCACTGATACAACACTAATTAAAAAGGAATTGGAAACCAAAGGCCACACAATTACAAATGTGCACAACCCACTGAGCCGTATGGACAAAACACCGCTAAATATATTTTTTGTTGACGTGGCTCAGGCCCCCAACAACAAAGAAATTTTGGACATTCGAGTTGTCTGCAGGCAACGCTGCACAGTGGAACTGCCAAGAAGATACAACGACCTGACACAATGCCATCGCTGTCAAGAATTTGGACACACACAACGCTACTGCCACAAAGCTCCCAGATGTGTGCGTTGCGCCGGGAAACACGCATCCAAAGACTGCACCCGCGAAAAGGACCAGGCACCAACTTGTGTGCACTGTGAGTTACAGCACCCAGCCAACTATAAGGGCTGCCAAGTATACAAGCGGTTGCGCAAATTGCAATCCCCAGCACAAAAAAGGAGTCCCACACAAACACCGTCTACGGGTCCGAGTACTGCTTCCGAAATTACAAGGCCCCGGAGCATTACCCAAGCCACGAGCTTTGCAACGCCTATTAGTGGTGTTTCTTACGCACAGGCCGCTAGAGGTGGACCGTCAAATAAGAATACCACAAGTGACACTTTGTTCACTGAAATGCTTCAGCAACAACAACGTCAGTTTGACGCAATTAATGCCGAGCTCAAAGCGATGCGAGAAGTACAATCCCAACAAGCAACCATGCTAAACAGTTTAATGGCCATCATAACCAAGCTTGCCTACAAATAATGGCTTTACGTGTGGGTATCTGGAACGCCAATGGCCTGAGAAACAAGACTCAGGAACTGGCTGCGTTTCTCTCACAAGAAAACATAGATATAATGTTAATAACAGAAACTCATGAGTGCCCCACTACACAAATTTTCGGATACGAACACTATCAGGCTCATGGTGAAGGAGCAAACTGCTTTGGTGGATCCTCAATCCTCATACGAGCAACAATACCGCATACACCTTTACTGCCAATTTGCAACGCAACAATGCAGGTCTCAGCCATCACCCTGCCTACGTCTATTGGAGCGATCGAAGTTGCGTCAATTTATCTTCCGCCAAACACTGGTCTGTGTGATCATCACATGGAACAGGTTCTAGGCCAAAGGTTGAATAAGACCCTCATCGGCGGCGACTGGAATGGATGGCACCCATTTTGGGGAAGCAATAGTGCGAATCGTCGCGGAGAAGTCATATTTGAGGCGATTCAAAACTTACAATTCAGCATATTGGCGACTGGAGCCCCCACCCGTTACCCAATTAATGGACACAGGCCCTCGGCAATCGACTTCGCTGTCTACAAAGGCATCTGTGACCGGCAATTGACCATTGAAGAATCCTTGGACCTATCCTCTGACCACCTGCCACTAATAGTCACAATCCACGCGCAGCCACAGCCCTTGCCCATTAGGAAACAACTACTGCCAGCAGGATCAGATTTAGGAGTCTTTAGGCGCGAGCTCCATTACTCTTTGCACATAGAAATGGAACTTAACACTCCTGAAGACGTGGACTACGCAGCAAACAAACTGCAGGAAGAAATAGTCAAAGCTGCGCACCAAGCCGCCCCACCATCTTGCCAAACAAGACAACAGTCTCCGTACAACATCCCCCTCACCTTGGAGGCCCAACACCTACTAATACACAAAAGATGGGCCAGGAGACGCTGGTTAAGATTACGCACGCCTGATGCCAAATCCATGTACAACGAAGCCACGAGGCATCTTAAAGCTGCTCTCGCCCTGCTTCAAAAGAGGTGTATCAGCGATGCGCTGGTACGAGCTGAATCGCCCACTGACGCAGAGTTTCAATTATGGAAATTTACAAGAAAGCTCAAACGGCAGCCAATACGACGTCATCCCATTCGGAGCATTTCTGGTTCCTGGCACATTGGAGACGAAGCTCAAGCTGAGGCTTTTGCAAACCACCTTCAAGACCAATTCACGCCGGTGATTACCGCAGAGGCCTCAGAAATCGAAGCAACAGAAGACATCGTTCTCTCGCCCCTCCCAGCTGAAGACCAGATAACTGGATGTACAAAAGAAGAGGTTCTTGAACACATCAGAAGAGTGAAGGCAAAAAAATCCCCTGGATATGATCTAATAAACGGCAGAGTCCTTAGAGCACTGCCTGACTCCACCATAGACTACATAACTATGGTGTACAACGCCATGCTCCGCATCCGGCACTTTCCAGCCTGCTGGAAGCGCGCCGTGATTGTGATGATTCCTAAGCCTGGCAAACCCGTGGGAGAAATTGAGTCGTACAGACCAATTAGCCTGTTGCCAGTACTCTCCAAAATATTCGAAAGAATATTTCTGGAACGAGTACTGACACATCTGGGACGCCAGGAGGCCATTCCAAACCATCAGTTTGGCTTCAGGAGACAGCATGGAACACCGGAACAGGTTCACAGAGTTGTGCACCATATCCTTGGAGCCTTTGAAGAAAAGATGTACTGCTCTGCCGTCTTTTTAGACATCAAACAGGCGTTTGATCGAGTTTGGCACCTGGGACTGCTGCAGAAAGTGAGGACCACCCTTCCAGCCCCATTTTTCGCGTTGCTATCCTCATACCTTATTGGAAGAACCTTCCAAGTGTCAAGGGGGCAAACAGTATCCTTGACTAGACCAATTATGGCTGGAGTACCACAGGGTAGTGTTCTAGGCCCAACACTTTATACTTTATTCACAGGAGATATGCCAACTCCCGAGCCAAATATAGGAAGTACAGATGCAGTACTCATAGCGACCTATGCAGATGACACCGCCATCTTATCACGTCACGTATCTGCGCAAGAAGCTTCAGACTCACTACAAAAATATCTGGACTCTTTCGGACGCTGGGCAAAACGGTGGTGTATCACCATTAATGC